TGCTCACCACCCACTGACCGATACCCAACCAGACCCGAGCAGCGATCTGGGCCTTCTGGGTAACTCCCCCCAGTTTATATACTGGGCATGATGTGCTGTGGTATGGAATACCCCTTTGGCCAGTTTGGGTCAGGAGGAAAAGTCTTGGAGGCAGAAGGCACAAAATCCACAAATCCTCTAAGCTTACCACTCCTCCAGTTAATTCATAACACATAAATATTTTTTAGCAGTAGTATGATTAACTATTCCTATAGCTCATTTGAAAGAAGAAAAAAAAAGCATAATCTGCCTTCTTGTATCTGGAAATGGTTGCGCTTCCCCCCGCCTCCCCCCAAAAGATGATACTGTGCTCAGTTGAAGAAGTTATTAGTAAATGTCTTGCCAGTGTAAGAGGTCAGACCAAACAATCTAATAATTCTTTGTAGCATAAAAATCTGTGCATCTCTGATTGGATCAGAAATGGTTTGGTTTATGCTAAAATGTATCCATCTAAATAAAAACTACCAGAAGAGTTTGAGAATGGAGGAGGAAAAAGCTCCTCTAGAAAGAAAGAGATTAATAAATAAAATCTCATCTCGAACTATTTTCCAAATGATAACCCACCCACTTTTAATGGACTATTTAAACGTTACTTTTTGTTCTCAAAATAATTATAATTCTTCCACTAACATTATATTATCAGGATATGGTATTTACACTGGGCCTTGCTGCTGTTGTTGTTCTCCCAGCTTTAATTACAACACATCTCGCACAGGTAACATTCCTCCCTTAAAGTTAAGAGCAAATTTTGCACACTGTGCTTAGTACCAGAAGTTATAATTTGTGTTGATACCTTATGTCCATATTAATTTTGCTTTTATTCTCATGCACATCTAGATTTGCACTGAAATAGGACAAATTTCTCCAGCAGCATGAGTGCAGACCTCCTATTGTTGTTGATGACGGATGAATGGCAACTGTAATTGCAAATCAGTTGTAAAGCTTGTCAGAAAACAAGACTAATAGATGGGAGCCTCTTACCGGCTAACAAATACAATACCACATTTATTACTAGAAACTATATGAATTTTTGAATCCTGTGATATTATGAAATATATTGATTAAATAAACCTGTTTCATCACAAGAACAGTCTTCACACATTTACATGTTAAAAAAAATAAAAAAAGGTGGTTTAGATTTCATTATTAACATGGTAATCCATTTTTCCAGTTAGTCTCTTAAATATAGCTGCCCTTTCTTTAATGATAGTTGACAATAAACCTAACAGATGACACTTTCATACAGGTTTCAATATGCAAAATCATTTCAAATAGACATCCAGGTAGGGTAAATCACTTCTTGTTCAACGCAAGTACAATTTATTCTTACAAACCCACATATATTTACATGAAAATGGTTGTTTTGGAAAACTATTTAGCTACCTAATACCTTATACAGGAGGTCTTATAATCTGAATGCCTTTCTGTTTTAGTGAAAAAATCCTAAAGAAGCAGTTTAATAGGCCAGCAAAGGATGTTGTACAATTATTGTACAAAAAAAGGAAGAAGCAATGAAATCAATGAAAATGAAATAAAATACTAACAAATGTTCTAACATAAACCATGAATGTATATATGTTGAAATAGTTTTGATAGTGCACCATTCTTAATATTTTGGCTATAAATAAACTGCTGTTGCCTGCTATAGCTTAAGCATGACAGCTTTCTTGTATGAATGTTTGACAGAAATTGAAATGAGCGAAATCTTACAATCAAAGTATTAGCTCTTTATTAAACCCAAAGCCAAACTTAGAATTACATTAAACCATGAAGACAATGAAGTGAAGATAAACTTAAAAGTAAAAAGTCTCTGAGTCTCTTTTACTGAGTTCTATATAAACCAAATAGCAAACCTGATGAAAAGTCAATTAGTTTTGAATTTTGGGTTTATCTAAGACAAAATTAATGAAATTGACTTATTTTATACATTTGACCTGAAACTGTTTTGTTTCTTTTAACTTCAGCTAGATGTATCAGAAATAGATAACATCAATAATATAATTAATTCACTTGTTACAGAAGGCAATGGTTTGATCAGTGAAGGTGAATAACAGCAGAACAAATGAAGTTAGCAGTTGAAAAGAATGAAAAAGACTAGTACCTCTATGGCAAAAGAAAATAAAGCTTGTGATGATCACAAGTGTTAATAAGTAAACTGTTATTAATTTCTATAGTCTTTGTCTCCATATGAAGATTCTCCAAACTAATTCAAAATTTAGAAATATTTTCCGAGTATGACACTAGCAAACCAGCCTGGATACATTATTTTGATGACTCCAATAAATCTGCTATACAAGAATGAAAAATATTGTAATGGTTAAGATCAAATGAGAATCATAAGTGAAGCAAGCTCTACCTATCTAAAGTGCAATCCAAATAAAATACTGTGTTGCTCTAATTCTGTTTAATTATGCTCTCTAGTAAAATTAAAACAGACTTGGTGCTTTAAAATTACAGTTTAAGCTGAACCTTTCCTACTTCAATTAACTCTTGAGTATTTCAGCTGAGCCAGACATACCACGAGCCTAATATTATAAAATCTAAAATCATGTTGTGTCCCGCTTCCTTAGCAAGAAATGTACGTCTAATATATTTTAACATCTCATACTTACAGAACTACACCATATATAACAAATAACACCTTAAAAAACAGAGGACACTATTTTAATGTTAAAAATGCAATTTAATACTTGTAACTTAGTTAGCAGTATTTTTTTCTATCTTAAAGGTAAGCTGATACAGCAGTATGGAAGTTACTTGGAACAACTAAAACAGTCTATTTCATTGGCACCTGAAGCAAGAGAAAGATGTTGCTGAAAGTATGAACCTTAGATATTGATAAATTTTGACAAATTTTACTTCTACTTTTGAAAAAAAAATCAAAACTATTTTTAAGTTGAAAATAAAGCATGGAGTTTTGATACAAGTCAAATAATTCTAGGATATCCAACTTCCAGGTACATCTACTGCTCTTCATTTGTGTTTACTGGATGCATTTAAGCCTCACTTGATTTCATATTCAGTGAAGTATTTCCACTGACTGAATAATGTTGCTTGTGAACAAAGGAAAACTTAGAGCATGATATGCAAAACACAAAAATGCATTTGTTCTTGTCTCATTAAGGAGAAAACTAGCATGATCTCTAAAAAAGGAAATATTTGTACCAAAATGTGGAATAATTTAAAACAATTAAGAAAAATATGAATATTGTTACCATTTAAGTATTTAAAGAAATATGACTTTTCAAATTTCAGCCTACCTAGAAGACCTATTCCTTACTTAGAATCATAAAATCACAGAATGGTTTATGTTGGAAGGGACCTTAAAGATCATCCAGTTTCAATCCCCTGCCATGGGCAGGGACACCTTCCACTAGACAAGGTTGCTTAAAGCCCTGTCCAACCTGGCCTTGAACACTGCCAGGGGTGGAACATTTACCACTTCTTTTGCACAACCTGTTCCAGTACCTTGCCACTTATGCCTATAGAAAATTATGTCTTTTGCCTGTGCTTGGCAATCATAAAGTCAGGTGAAAAGCTATTGAAATATCATCCAAGTAAGTAAAATGACAAAGTACTTTAAAGGAAAAAAGAAAACAGTAAGCTTAAAATCTTGATTTTAACTCAATGAATCTGAAGAGGAATGATTCTTTTTTCCAGCAACTTTCTTCTTCTATTAAAATAATGTAAAATACAGGCAGAAGTTAATACACACTTTTTTGATTTTGTCACTTAAAGATAAGATTCTCTGTTGCTAGCTGAAAGACCCCACTACTACTGATATTTATACAGTTCATGAATTTCAACCTTTTACAATATATATTTTCAGAAAATAGTATTACACAGGTTTTGGATTAAATAATAATTTTTTATATTGTACAGAAATCTTGTATTTATCCATACCACCTTTGTATTTATCCATACCACCTTAAGAATCAAAATAGAGACTTTATCAGATCATCCACATTATCCAATGCTATCATAAACATTCACATAATTCCAAATAGAAGAATATTAGATTTTCACTCATTACCTTGAGTAAAAATAAAGTCCCCTTTGAGTACTGATGAATCTGTATTGTTAATGACGCTTTATCTCCCTCACTATATTTTCCAACTCCTCCTCCTGTTATGTTTCACAGTTCTCTTCCCTATTACTCTACATGCAGGCTAGAAGAATTAGGTAAAAGTATTCATTAGGGCTATGCAGCAAAGCTAGACTAGGTATAAGCCCATTTTCCTAACTGGAATACAGACTGATTGAGTAAGCTCCTAATGGCAAGTTCTGTATTTAAGTGATATTGTATACCACAGTTGTAACAGAATGCATCTTCCTGCAGTACTGGAAGACACTTCCACCATAAGCTTTTAATCTGGAATAGACTTTGGAGATATACTTAAGTACGAACAAAGTGTTGATAGGTAGTATCTGAGTGTTCTGAACAACTGGAAATATTCTGGAATAAGCTACCAAGCCTGCACCAGTATTAAGCAAACAAACCAAACAAACGCAGGGAAGTTACACATGTAACTTTCATGATTTATCATTTACATCTAACGTAGTTGTACTCAGCAACACTGTGGTTTTCTTAAGTGTTCAGAATAAATACAAGATCTTAGTTCCTAACCTGACAAATATTCAGCTCAGACAAACTATTATGTGAGTATTCCCGACGCATTCACTGGTATTACTTGAATGCAAAAATTCAACCTGTGAAACATAAATATCTGCAAGCTGTCAATGGGAAGGCCTGCCTTCATGTTTAAATCTGCACAATATTTTTACTCCTGTATCTTACTTTATATACTTAATACTTATTTTACAAAGAGTACTATGTAGTACTTATTCTGACAACTCAGTATTGCTATACATTCTGTCACAAAAACCTTGACAGTCTGCAAGAACATCTGAGTAGCTAAGAAACTAGTCTCAAAGATTTTGCATCAGTCTGAAATACTTACTGTCGCTGGGGAGGCCCGTGTCGTATGAGTCACTGAATGACCAGAATTTTCCATTGAATTGCCAATCAGATACGTCCCTCCTGAGCTGCTAATGAGTTGTCCTCCTGTGACACCCATTTGAATCCCTCCAGTGCCCACCATGCTATGAGACGAGACCACTGTTGTCACCTGTGCAGAACTTCCTTGAGTATCGAAATAATTTCCCCCAGTGTTTTGGCTGTACATCTGGGTTTCTGTGTAAGGATAAGTTGTTGATCGGCTTCAAGAAAAGAAAACAAAAAGGAAAAGAAATTATTTTTATTGCTCATCTAGCTGAGGGAAATGTTACAATTCTAGAAATGTATGTACAGTAGTTGTAACCAAATTAAATAAGATTAGCAAGCAATCTCTGCCTCCTCAGATAATAACATTTAATCAAGTCAAAGCACTAAATAAGTAATTCTGTGACAATGTTAAACCATGCATCCACCAAACCTTACAGAAAATTTGTCAGTCTTTCACTGAAGGGAAGAAGGGAAGGGAAGCATGACAAAATTGAGGAGACAGGCAGAAAGAGCTCATACAATTACTAATATATTGCAAAGCAATTTATAAAATTCTATTATTTTAATCCGACGTTAAAACTTTGAATTTTAGTCAGATGTCATATATTTTACATACTGTGCACGTTGCAACATTTTAAAAAATTGATACAAATGTTGGCCAAGAGAACCAAATGTTCAAGAATCCTATGTGATCTATTGTTTTAAATTCATTAAAGTTCTTGGCTGAAGTTTGAAATTCTGAGTTCACTGGTATTTTTGGAAATGCAATTATTTTTGCAAGGTGAATTCAAAATAGGACATGAATTCACATTATGATGAAAGAAAAAAAAACCCATTTAAGAAATAAAGCCAAAACAGAACTAGGACTTACAAAAGGGGCACAAAGATGAAAGAAGTTAAGGGCATACATTAGTAACATTTTTAAATCACTTTAAACTCTGAAACATTCATGCCTCATTAACCAGCCTACCCTAACAAACCATTCAGCTATTGAAACCTTTTATCATTTTTTCATGTTCTTAATCATGTATCTTGAATCACTACTCTTCATAGGTTATATTTTGAATGTGTATTTGTTCCCATGTACTAAATTTTTATCTTCAAATCAACGTATTTCAGATTTGTTAAGTAAATAGCATTCATTATTTCAAAGGCCAGATTCCTCATTTTGGAAAAGCCTGTTTGGAAGTTTTATCCTGTTTCATGACTGCTATGCTTTGTATTTTGGCAAGCATAATGATGGAAAAGTCAAAAGGTAAAGCAAACCAGTTTACTGAAACAATAATTTTCTCATTTAAGCATAAAAATCCGTAATACTGCTTGCAATCAACAGGCAACACCATTTTGAAATTCAAAGTTTTCTGCTAACTTGGAGCTGCATATGTTGAGATACACTTAGTCCAAGTAAATAAATTTTATAAGTATGATTCAGAGAAAACAGAGAGGTGACCAATCTCCGTGTAAGTCTCCAATTTGTTTAGTATAATCAAACAAAACATAAAATCACCATGCAATTAAACGAGTTCAACAAAAAAATCCACTTTTGTCCAAAAACACAACAAAAGGAGGAAGCAGCATCCAGGTTTTATGCAGTAAGCTGGTGATTAATATACCTATCCAGGAATTTGAAGTCAGTATTTATTTTTTTTTTCCCTTTATATAGACAGGGATTAATCAGTTTCTTATCAATATACAGAAAAGGCCATGGCAATTTACTATTTGTTTTTATAGCTTTTTAATTATGAAAACTTATACTAGACTAATAAGTACACAATGGGCTCAGAGAGAACAATTACTTCTTTAGCTCTAGTAAAGTAAACTTTAACTTCTAAGTAACTCAAGTACATACAGTACCTTATCAACAACTAAAGTCAGAACTTTTGTTGTAATTCACACAGTTTCTCCCTCCATCTTCAGAGACTTCGGAATCTCAAAAAACTTCAATTTTAAAATCCTAAATGTTTCATAGCCTTATACTACATTATTTGCTCTCAGCCCTCCTTAAGCTACTTAAAAATTTTGCTTTTTATTTTGAGTATTTCAAAAGCCTTTAAGATCAGCTGCAGAAATGCCTTTCAGTCTACTGAAAACAAAAGGGACTAATGCCCAAACAGACAGTTTAATTCATTAACTTTTCTTTAGGAGACTTAAATTAGTTATCTTTGCTTTGTAATAACCTCTGTATTCAGGTTCTAATTAATCTGTTTTATCAAGCCAAGGTATCATTGCGATACCTTTTGATATCATTGTGGTATTGTTTATCTTATGATAAGCAAGGTAACTGCTAGCAAAGCTGGTGTTGCATCTGTCTCAGAATTACACAGTTTACAGAATGTGAAGAGAGCTATGCAGCAGAGGACAATTTAGGAACACGAAGTGATGGAAGGTCAGGGGAAGCAGTTCATGAAAATATTATCAAAGGACTGAAAGCTGTAATTTCTGCTAAAAGAGGAAAGAAAAATTTGGTATCAGTATCAGGTATCAGTAAGGAAAGGAACAGAAGGACAACACCACTGTTGGCAGTAAAAATAGACATGGCTAGAAGAAAAAGACTGTCCAGAAGATGAGAGGAGTACAATCTCACTTGCAGAAGTGGAATTAAAGAGGCAGTTCTTTAAAGCAATGCAAACCCCACAGAATGCTCAAAATTTCACAAGAAAATTACAGCACAGACTTTGTGTGTAACAGACAAAAGGAAATGCTTGTTTCCTTTTACCTTGCTTAGATCTGTAAATAAGGACTGATTATATCAGAACACCTATATCTGCATATAACAGTATTCCTTATCAATGGATCAAGAACAATCACTGGGGTACACAAGTGTACACACTCCAACATAAACATACTCTTCCCTTTGTTCTAACAACCAGCAGTTTCTTCTAGAATTAGGCAAACCTTCAGCAACAGAGACCAGCAGGGTAAACAGAACTCAGATAAAACCATAACTGTGACATGCAATATGTGCGACTTAGCAAAGAGCTTTTTAATTTACCAAAATACAAACAAATTCATCTGGAAATTAAAAAATGCAGATGGATTTGAGATGATGTTTTGAAAGCAGTGCCTCAAAAGTTTTAAGGTCACTGCATATGATAACATGACCTCTCAACATTCTACTGTAGCAAAGAGGAAAATAAGATGTTATATCCTTCAGACACATGCACCAGGGATAACTTGAAATAAGGAACTTCCCCATAGCACATGTAGCACAAACATGCAATACTTTCTCAGATAATCTGTCATATACTATATAGTCAGTTCTTGCCCACTGGAAAGGTTGTAAAAGTCCTCCTGGCTCTCCTTTTCTTTAACAGTTGCATATAAAGATGACCTAGGGACTAGACTCAATGCAACTAAAGTCGTCTCGCCTTTTATGAGAACACCAAGATGGTATCCTGTGGCATGAGATACAAGGCAGACAACAGAATCTAACAGTTACTCCTACCAAAACACTGTGAAATTCAGTGTTTACTAGAACATGGCATTAGAATGTTCATTACAGGTACAAATAAGTTTGAAGTCTAAGTAATTAGGCTGCAGAATCCTAGGTTTCCAGAGGCTGTGCAAACTAGATGAAGTTTATCCTGAAAACAAGTCAAACAAGTCAGACACTGTGCAAATTCAATTAGATTAAGCAAGCCCAGAACATGTGTCCAATGTTAAGATCCCTCACTGGAAATTACTGAGATCAGCATGAGCTGGAGTAGGACTGCAAGGTACAGTAGTTTAAGGCATCACCTATTATGCCTTACTGCTTACAAACATTTTATGATTTGAAACCCCTGCACTACCATGTAAATTAAGTGCCATGTTTTGCACTATATTACAGACACTAGCATAATATTACTGAGCTTAACTTTTAGATACACTTTTATCTCTTCAAAGAAAGGGGACGAATAAAAACAACAGAAAGAGTAAACCTTGTTATTGCCCTCCCTTAGCTTTCAGTGTGCACATGCATACATTCACACATAAGAAATAATTCGCATTCTATGTAAATGTCAAGAATCTGATCTATTGACTACTACAAATCAGTGTTCCTGCCATGCCATCATGTCTTGGGCTTTTTACATCGGCTGATCATGGCCATAGATTTTCTCTGAGCAAGCAGATGATGGGACAGACTTACCTTTCCTATATTTATATTAGCCTAGTCCCCTACAAGCTTAGGGTGTTTTTATTCATGTCTTAGAAATATCTGCCTTGTTGAAAGATCATTCTGTGTTTTTAGCAAAAAAAAAAAAAAAAGAACCACAAAAAAACCAACATCACCCACAAAAAAACCCAAAACAAACAAACAAACAAAAACCCCAAACAGATTTATTTCCTTTTCCTGGAATTGAGAAATGCAGTGTATTTAAACAAAAATTCTTAAATCAGGTTAGAATTTCAAGCAGTGCAGTTTGTATTTGTTTTAATTATATTTTTACTTGAAATTATATTCTACTAACTTCTGTGTCTTGCAAAATAAATAATTAACTACTGAATTCTAATCACCAGCTGTAGGCACTGATTTGGAAAATTCAAGTCTTGGGTAATACGTACGTAAATCTATTTTTTTACTTGAACTTATATACATATAAGTACGTTTATCTTTTATACTGTAACTTGAAATACCGGCATCCTTTCACAATGGCTGTACAAGAATAGCAGCTTAATTCAAACAAGAAAACCATTCAGTGTAATTAATGTAATTTTTTAATTTTTCTGCAATTCAAACAAGCAACTTACATAATAAGTTTTATCTTACTCATTAAGTAATCTCAGAATTACTCTTGCGGGTTTTAGTAGGGATTACGTACACAGCTGGGGAGGAAAGCATATAAGTATTTTTTCGTTGTCATTTCTGTATTGAAAGTTAGCCTTTTATAGTACTTAATCAACTAAGGAATTATTTCATGGGATATAAATATGATAAACACTAGATGAAAACAAACATTTCAAGGTACACTGTTATTTATATGCACAATAGCTAATGCTCATGATAATGATATGTAGTATTGCAATATGGTAGAAAATCTCCATGCATTAAAACCAAGAAAGTCTTTCACACGAGAACAATATCCTTGAACTCCTTTAAGATTTTGGTGCAACCGTGTGGTCCTAAAGCTGATAGGGGGCTTCAGAGAGACTAGAGAGAACAGAATCCTTTTTCTAATATTAAGTGAAGGCCTTAACACAGCCAATGCATTGGTGCAGACTGTGGAAGTGCTATACTGTGAGCAATGGGAAGAAAAGGAAGTGACATATGCCCTAACATTGACAAAACAGAACATGACAAAGCAGTCAAATGATAATGGAGAAATGGTCTGTCTCACCCTGTCTCATACAGCCTCCTTCGTCCCACAAAGAGATCTACTCATGTACCTAGAATACTTATTCAGGGCTTTTTAATAACAGATCAAATCCCAATAAAGTAATAGCCTTCTTCCACAAAAGCCTCCTCAATTGACCTAAAGACAAAGATGGAAGAACTTAAAAGACAGCAAGTTGTTGTTTCCTTTCACCAATCCCCCCTGATCAACTGAAACTGCTAAAACCAAAGATCAAAACCTACACTAGGAAAGGGCAATTAATTCATCTATAAGCACGGAACAAAAATTTAAAGTAAGCAATTTCCTCTGTAATAGTGAATAGCTGACCTGCCTTATACATATACATTTTCTCTGTATGGACAACTTAAAACGTATCAGCCAGAAAAAAGCTTTAAAAAAGCTTTATAAAATTTACGTAAAATATAGTTGCATTATTCCATATAAAGAAACTCTTACTATACACATTCCATAATTAAAGTAAATACGTTACTGACAGTAATTCATTATCAATAACAAAGAACTGTGATCTTCAACACTCAGTCCAAAATATTTTCCACATGGAAATAAAGCATTAAAAGCACACTCAATGCACAACTGCAGGAAAACGCAGTAAACCACGAAACAAAGTAAATGACAACAGAAATCTTACGAATTATATTCTCAGGACCTGTAGATTAGACAGGCAAGGGAACCTTAGTTACAGACCTCTAAAAATTCAGATGAAGTACTGCAGACCTGTAATCGAAGAAAGCTGGTACTGCCACTGTTAGGAACTTGTCACAGAGTTTGTACTACATCTGCAAGACGTCAGGACTTGGGTTTGTCAGGCTTCCTTTGCCTAGACTTGTCTGTGCTAGCTTAAGAGCTTTGTCCTAGCTTAGCTCTAACAGTAACTGTTGAACAATCAGATAAATTTTACTTAAACTGACTCCATTTTAGCTTACCTTTCTATGATTGAGTGGTATGAAACCCCTTGCTAAAATGCCAATGCACTGCTCTAACTAGCATACAGTAATATCAAATAGCTATTAGGTGTAGATTAAAAATGTAGCAAAGAGGATCATGAGCTGAAGTGACAGTATTCAAGAAGTACCCAGCAAATGTAAAACATGCCATATACAGTAAATTCAAATGTAACATGGAAATGGAAACCAATGAAGAATAATGTGAGAAGTGTGCTAGGAAACATATTAACATAGCTGCAAGTGAACAGAGTGTGAGTAAAGAACCTCCTACAAACCACCATACTTCTCCAGGCACAAGACCTGTGATGGTGGTAACTTGCTGAAACCCCTTCTCAGATGGGAGCCATTGACTCTAGTATGAAGAGGGGTACTAAAAGGGTAAGCATAATGTCAGAGAAAAAAAGATGGATATTAGGAAGTACTAGGAAGGTAACAACTCTATCGATAATGATTCTTTGATTTGACAGCTAAGATTTTTATTAAAGTAATAGCAAATTCTTGGGTTTGCATACAAGGTGTCTTTTGCCCACATAAACCACACAAATGGTAGTAAAAAAATCGGTGAAGAATGTGATTTGGGCACAACAGCAATTCTTGGACAATCTCAGCAATTAAAACTCTCTTTGCCACACCAGAATTATCAGGTAAATGACTACATTTGATTAAAACATTACAATTAGAAGAAAGTTCATTTCTATTATAGGGGACTCACTTGCCTTCTTAACACAGGTGCAGCCATAATATACTTTTATCTGTTCTAAACTGCCAGATATGCCTGTACATGCCATTGCAATAACTGTGCACTTTTGTTTCAGTATAGAGTGACATGCTTGAAAAGTAAAATTGTTACTAACTAGACACAAACATAGATAACATAATTCAAATATTCTCATATTATACAATATATATGACAAGTTGTAGGTTACACCCTTTGAATTACCATTATGCCTCCAATAATAATAACACCAAATAACTTTTAAGTGTAGACAAATCATGTTATAAAATGTGTGGGAATAATTGTGTTAGAAGAATACAACAGTTACATTTGACAAAGACTGTGAAAACTGACAAACTTCTTACCTTTGGACTCAAAAGATTCAGGTAACTTTCCTTATATATATTCTAACTGCATCCTTTGTTGCTATCATATATGGACCTAAACCAGTGCTAGTTTGCAAATGTTTTTTTGACATAAAAAAATGATTTTTTCATTAGATATGCTGTAACTTTTATTCCAGACATGCCTGTACACTGAATTAATGTCTTCACCCTAACTATTGGTTGCAGCCTTCTTATTCCACTGCTAGAGCAGTACTGTCAACTTGACAGATTATGGAAGCACTCTATATCTGATACTGAGTTATAATTAAGATTTTGATTTAGCATTATCATAAGATAAATCAAACATATAATTATAGGAAACCAACCCAAAAGACAAACGAGTTATCATTCTAGTCAAGCACATGATTTACAAACCTAATTCTATTTTCTGAAAGTGAAACAGACAATTTCTGGAGTGGGAGTAACGGGACAAACTGCCTGATACACAATTCTGTCAGGATCTACAAGGCTCATCTTTCATATATTTCAGTATGAGGTGTCCCTGCCCATGGCAGGGGCTTGGAACTAGATGATCTTTAAGGTCCTTTCCAACCCTAACCATTCTATGAGTCTATGGCTCTATGAAGAATGGAAAAAGATGAACTTCGATCTGAACACTTGCCTAAATATTTTAGCACAAAAGTCTGGCCTCTGTGTTTTCTATCACAACAGAACTCAACAGCAAATAGAAAACCAGTTCTTCAATTTCTGAAGGAAGCTAGCCATCAGCAACCTAGAAGGCCATTCTCCTTCACCTGTCAAATAAATAGCACTATGGCATGTAATACATAGAATCACATAACCATAGAATGGTTTGTGCTGGAAGGGAACTTAAAGATCATGTAGATCCACTCCCCCCTGCAATGGGACACCCTCCACTAGAGCAGGTTGCCCAAAGCTTCATCCAACTACCAACTAAGCCCCAAACAGCTGCTTGCTCCCTTCTCCTCTAGTGGGATGGGGGAAGAATCAGAAGGGTAAAAGAGAAAACTCATGCACTGAGATGAAGACAGTTTAGTAAGTAAAGTTATGCATGCAAGTAAAGCAAAAGAAGGAATTCACTGCCTCCCATGAGGTAGTAGGGCCAGGCTGGTGTTCAGCCATCTCCAGGAAAGCAGGGCTCCATCACACATAATGGTTACTTGGGAAGACAAACATCACTCCAACATCTCCCCTTCCTTCTTCTTCCCCCAGCTTTCATTGTTGAGCATGTCATATGGCCTGAGATACCCCTCTGGTGCAGCCTCAGCCTACTCACTCACAGGGTGGTATGTGAAGCAGAAAAGGCCTTGGCTCTGTTTAAGCACTGCTCAGCAAGAACTACAACATCCCTATTATTATCAAGACTGCAGCACAAGTCCAAAATATAAATACAATACAAAACACAAGGCCAATAGCAGCTGCTGTGAAGAAAATTATCTCTGTCACAACCAGTACAACAAGTAAGTCTAATGTCTATTTAAGATACATTGTTTAGGATTTAAAAGTGAAAACAGACAAGAAAGTATGTGAAAAATTAAGTATGCAAAATGTACTAGTAGAAATGACCAAAGTATGCTGCCAGTGTTAACATCAGAAGTCTCTAATCCAAATAATATTGCTCTTTTGAATGACTTTTGGATTACCATCAACAAATAAGTACCTGCAGACAATAAAGAAGCTTTCTAAATTTATTTCTTTCCAAAGCCAGTAACACAGCAAAAATGGTAAATGAAAAAGAGAGGTAGAAAAGCCTCTTCTCAAGCAACATGATCCTATTTTGATGTCTGAGCCAACTTCAAAGCTGGTGCTGCTCCAAGTCAGGGATTAGACTAGGTAACCTCCGGATGTCTGGTCAAACCTAGATTATTGTATATTTCTAATCTTGTGTATTGGAGAAAGGAACCTGATGATGCAAAAGCATGTTCAGGGAAGAATGGAAAAGCACGATGATGTGCAGAAAAGAGGCTACCAAAGCAGCAAAAGGAGACAATGTTACTCTCCTTCTTCCACCTTTCCTCAATGCTTTGGAAAAAAATACTTAATTATATTTCTACTTTCTTTAAATAGTAACTACAGCTGCTGCACCTTTCTATGCATTTGCCACTAGGACTGCAGCCAGGAAGACAGAAGGGCTTGCCTTCTGTCCTGAGGACGGAAGTTAACAGAGTACGTCCTACAGAATCACAGAATCATAGAACCAACTAGGTTGGAAAAGACCTTTAAGATCATCAAGTCCAACCGTTCTCTAGCATTGCCAAGGCCATAAACAGAAAGGTACTGTCATAATTTCATGTAAATCCATGTAATGTAATTTCATGTAAGTCCAATTAAAACAATCACAAGAATTCTACTTACACAAAAAATACGCCTCGATAAATAAATATTAATAAACACTTCATAAACAGTGTGAATTCATCTTTTCATCCAAAAAACTATTTTGACAATAAAAGAACTTTGACTGAATCATTTTTACTTCCATCTTAGAATACACTAGTTGGTAGAATGTAACTGAAAATACATATTTAACTTCACAATTTAATAAAAATTCAAATTCTGACAATTTGACAACTTACATAGCTCCATTAGTGTAGACTGTGTCACTTCCCTCCACATACTGAACCTGCGCTGGGTAGACATGCTGTACCTGTTGCACAGGCTGCACTTGCTGTACCTGAAAAAAAGAACAACAGAAATTTGGACTATTGTAAAGAAGGACTGATGCTTCAAGTGCACCTCATGGCTTCTAAACAATATAGAATAAGTCTGTTCTCATAATTACTAAATGTATGTCATAGCAATGGCAAAGAAAGTTACTTTTCTTCCACAATATCTGTGCCATAAGATGGTAAATGGAGCCCTAACACTGAAGATGCCTGCTCATGGAGCATACATACCTTCAGTGGCAAAGATACACCTAACTGGAAAGCATAATAAGGATGAAATGAAGTATAGCTATGCTTTGCACCAAGCTGAAGAATTACATTTACTACAGAATAAAGTATAATTTAGCCATATGTATGCCTTTTCTTCCATTTCAGTCCGGAATAGGACAAACCTTAAATGACAGCTCAGAAGTGTTGGAGAAAATTTAGAATAAAGGTTTGCATTAAGTTGATTTAGCTCTTGTTTAAAAGCTGTGATCCAATGTACACTACAGTGATATGACCTTTTTTTCCAGTAATGCTTTGTTCCAGTGTACAATTACAGATCATAGCATCACAGAATCATACAATCAACTAGGCTGGAAAAGACCTTTAAGATAATCAAGTCCAACCATTACCTCAGGACTGCCAAGTCGACCACTAAACCATATCACTGAGGGCCTCATCAAAACACTCAAGCTGAGTAACCCAATTCTGCCAAATACTATCAGCTGTAACAAACTCCGACAAAGCCTGTTTTTACGTCAATGACCTAAAGAACAGAAGGCAGTAAGGCATGAATTATCTTCATATATATTGCTGAGATGGCACGCCTGTTTAGTAAAAGCACACACAGTCATAAATCAATTCCTTTAATTTATATACTATGTAAGGAAGCTCCGGGTTAGGCAAGTTTTCTCTCCATTATTAATTTTTTTGCCTTCTGCCACTGTAACAATTAAGAATTCCATATTTTACCCTGCCATCACTTAGAGAAGCCATACTGTGGTTCAGGAGCAGGCCAGAATCTAGAAGATATAAAAGGACTTAAGAGACTTCACAGCCCAGTACAATTTTACCCAAGGAACTGAATTAAGAAAGTGACAATGCACTTATTGAGTACACAGATTTAACATAAGCTACTCTTACATGACTGTCATTGATTTTCTTATCAATCAACTTCAGCATTACCAAGTTGGTCCTTAAAATTGGAAACACCCAATGAATCTGGGTTTCATGCATTTGATGTATCATCTCCAAGACTTCTTTGTGAATACCCTATTTTAACACCTCCAATTCTGCTGTATTTTTAAAAGTTCTGTAAATAACCATGTTTTTCCTAGTCTTATATAGTATTGACTGAGTCTGTGAAAGGAAAATCTAGATTTTCACAGAAAACTTCCCTCACGTTGACGTTAAAGCCTGAATTCTGAAATAAACCCAAAACACCCAAGGTTTTGAATGCAGCCATACTGGCATGATAGAAAACAAGATGTTCCTATCCATCAACAGCAATGAAACACGACATGATGGTTGAAATATTTATTAAAATCCAAAGTTTTATGATTTCCCACATGAATCACTACAATATTGAGGGCCTATAAGAAATCTGGAGAGGGACCTTTTACAAGGATATGCAGTGACATGACAAGGATTCTGGCTTTAAACTGAAAGAGAGGAGATTTAGATTAGGTATTAGGAAAAAATTCTTCACTATGAAGGTGGTGAGACACTGGCACAGGTTGTACAGAGAACCTGTGGATGCCCCATCCCTGGCAATGTTCAAGACCAGGTTGGGCGGGGCTTTGAGCAACCTGGTCTAGTGGAAGGTGTCCCTGCCCATGGCAGTGGGGTTGGAAATTAAGATGATGTTTAAGGTTCCTTCCAATCCAAACCATTCTATGGTCATACGATAAATTTATATCATAGAATAATAGAATGCTTTGGGGTGAAAACGACCTTAAGATCATCTAGTTCCAACCCCCTGCAATGGGCAGGGACACCTCACACTAGACCATGCCACCCAAGACGCTGCCCAACCTGGCTTTGAAAACTGCCAGGGATGGAGCATTTACCACTTTTTTGGGCAACCTGTTCCAGTGCCTCACCACTCACTGTAAAGAACTTCTTCCTTATTTCTAACTTGAACTTCCCCTGTTTATATTGCAATAAATTGAGAAATAAACCTGAAATACATTTTCTCAACTTAAAAATACTTTAAAGATGCTTTCTAATTACTAAGGTAATGTACAGCTGTGTACTTTTCCTCTCCTAATAATATTTAGTTATATAACAGAAGAATTTAGTTCTCAAAGTCAAGACGAAAAACTCTGATCCAAATCATGCATGTTTCTAGGCTTTAGAACAATATTTTTATAATTAAAAAACATAAATAACTGTATTTTGCAAATGTCTTTTCAAAGAATCAAACTACTATTTCTATTACTTTTGACTCCACAACTTTAATTCAAATCACAATTTCATGGAATGGGCATGATCCAAATCCACTATGAGAAAGCTATGCCTGTAAGCCTGCTATTAATTACCTCTCGATATTCCTACCTGCCAATCTATAACAAACCCAGCTACTCATGAGTTAACTGGCTAAAATATGTATGTGCTTTACTGCAAAACATATGCAACATGCCAGGTTTTGACTCTAAAAGTATTTCTTCCTCTTGGATAACTCCAGTTTTATGACCTTTAATCAACAGAAGGGTAGTCACGGTTGATCGGTCTATTACAGAGAACCAAACTGATCTACTTAACCTATACAGTTAGAAAACATCTTGAAAGCAGGCATCTTTGTTCTTAAAACCAGTAATTTGTCTCCTGCCATGTAATGGATATGCTCAGTTTTCCGTCCCAATAGTACAGCTGGCGAAACAGTGTGGAAATGATGCTGTTGTCAGTACGAATTAAATGTTCTTGTCCAATCTTTCTCAAAATGCACTTCATTCCGTATTCACACACACTGGCTTACTCCCTATTAAAAAATCCACACTGTTTTTCTGTTATAAAGGGAATGTGATTTTCTCCATGTAACCTGCATACTGATAAAATGGAACAAATACAACACTAAAAACTCTGTATTCTCATTCTATACATTCTATATATTCTCCCATTATTCTTGGATACAAGCCTCTATCATTTCCAAAACAAAAGATTCAGCACAGTTGAAGACCTTTACCATAGAACTGAGAAGATACTGCAGGAAAAAAGTGGCATAAAGTGTATCAAATCTCAATATCTATTGACGAAATGTGTTTATTTTCTGATTTGGAACAACAAGAACAAATTCATTTCATCCACCACAACTACTAGAAAGGTGACGACTCTTTATGCAAATAAAGTAACTCATCTTTTAAAGCAACATTTAAGAATGGATAGACTAAGCGCTATTATAATATCTTATATACTTCTGTAGATCTAAATGCCTTTCCTTTAAACAATGAAGTTCAATACAAAAAAAGCCACTGAATCAGGTTAATTTTTTTCCAATAATAAATGAAGGCTTATAAAAAAAAGTTATTTTTCTTCAGCTTCTCTGAAACTCAGTAATGCTATGGTTAAACTGATGATAGTGCCCAAGGAAGCTTTAGTGACCATATTGTATTGCAATAAACGTTAACAACCTTAAGGTAGAGAAAGTTAGAGGTAAATATTTTCCCTGTAAAGCTGTGACAAATAAAACAAGTGGCCTTTAGAATGGCCTTGTACATGAAAATTCTGCCATGAAGAGAATCTTTGTTATTATCTCCATTACTAATTTTATTTTCTATTTTACTTCATCTAGGGGAAAATATTTTAATGGGAATTACTTCTAGTGTCTCTGGATTTTCTTTTTATTCTTCAATGTCAGGAAGAAATTAACTGCATTTACCTACTTTCTGTGAGCACAAATTACTTGAAAAGAGTTGGTTTTGAGGAAATAAAACAACACCAAAAAAACCCCCAACATATTTTATGGAAATTGTCAGGGTGAAAAAAAAAAATTCTTCCCTTCTGGTTTATTTATCACTTTCTTTGCATCTTTTGTTAAACTGTTAAAGAAATTGTATCAGGTATCTTCTTTAGTTTTGAGGGCAAAGCAGAAATTGGAGATCACAAAAAGAATATTCAATGGAGATCTAAATCTAAATAGCCCTCTTGTATTAAAAAATGGGCTGAAAACAGAAAATACAATGAAATATTTATTAAAATGGACAGTATGCAAGTTCAAAAATTGCATATTTTTGAGCAGACTGATGAGCTAGTCATGGTAATTGTTGTTATTGTCTGGCTGGAAAACATACTGACTTGTACAGGAAATGAGTTAAGTAGGGTCAGACAACACATCTTTTATTACTCTTGCTTCAGTGATTGTAGCCTGAAATAAGTAACTGGAATAGGATTAGAAGTAAGCAGCTGAAATGTTCCAGAAGAACAAAAGGCAAATAAAAACTTATTTCACTATCCATGTGTAATTATAATTACTAGTTGAAGGGAAAAAAAAGGAAAATAAATGAGATTATTAATTATACTACATCAGAGGACAATTGAGAGACTAAGATAATTTGCATCTATGAGAGTTTGTAAACAAAAATAAAGTGCATAAAAGCATATTGAAATGCAGAAATTACATTGAAGCATAGACACAAGATTTAAGATAGAATTTTGATTTCCAATAAAAAGTTTTTATATTCAAAGTACTACTAAGCAAAAAATAGAACAAAGGGCAAAATATTTAAGGATTTTTAAACTCCATTTTAAAAAGAACATATAATTACCCACAGTGCAAATGATGCAAATGATTTGGATGTGCATTGTTTTCTGTTCTCAGAGATAAAAATAATTTTTGTATCTTCATTAGTCTGGATTACTTTTGCCAAGTAACATAAAAATAGCACATGCTGTAATATTCTAAGCGCATTCATATTTATATTATGGCTAATGTCAGTTCATGATTATGTTTTTCATATGCTAAACATGATTTTGCATTAAGGACAATTTTGATTAGCAACAAGCATCTACATCTCCAGTTGATGATACAATGCTTTGTGAAAATGATGGCCATTATGTATACTGAATATGAAGAAATGCTTTGCTCAATTTCCGATGCATGGATATACTTATGGATATAAGCACACATGGATATATTTATGAAATAGATTATATGACTATTTATAGTTTTATTTCTCCAATTCTTCCACATTGCGTGGCATAAACTACAAACTGAGTTTTGAATCCTTAGAAGCTCACTGCACTGTGTTAAAGAGTGCTTATTGAAAAAGCAATGACATATTAGTGAAAAATCCTCGTATCCGAGGAAACAAAAGACTAAGGAAATTTTTCTAACTATTGAAACACAGTTTAATTACATTCACACCTTTTTGATCTTATTCTTGTCGGTTTTTGCTTACATGTGTACATGTTTGTTCCCTTACCATTCCCATCTATCCCATCTTGACACTGACAGCTGCTGTGCTGCATGAAACCCACTGCCAACAGTGCCATTTTAATAAGGGAAGCCCAGGTTTTCATTAATAGTACCCTTTTTTCCCTATGTTTGGAGCATCACAGCAGACTTTTATGAGCTACATATTTATATCAGCTATATGCAAATTAGAGATTTGTTTTAGCTGAAAATATCAATAGTTACTCTTTCACTGTTCGCTCAAGATGCTTCAGTACAAACACAGCTGTAGAAAAAAGGCTCTTAGTCCACCATTCCACTTATTCAGCTTACTCTTCTTCAGGGCAAAAATGTTTCATTGTGAAAAAGATTACTTTTTGTGAGAATAAATATCATACTGATGCCTTGTAAACAACCCCAAATTAATGCATGCATGAGATTTCATTTAAGTATGGCACATATACAGGAATTGAAACATAGGAAACAAAGACCTCACTGGGAAAAATTAAATACTATAAACTGCTTTAACATTAATTAATAAAAATCCCCTCCTAAATTGCATTTTTCACTAAAAAGTACTAATAAACTACTGTAAAATCATAGAGATGCTTCTGCTCATGCCAAATTGTTGCATGTGCACACTTACGTTACAGTATCTTTGAGTTTAACCAAATTCAAGAAATGCTCTATTGTTTCAGTAAATTAGATTCACAAGAGAATATAATCTTAATGTGAGTAATCATATGCATTTTGAATACAGCTAACATTATTATGTCACTTATAAGCAATAGGAAAAAAAATTAAAGCTTATCTTATATAATATGTACCTAAAACCTTCCCTCCAACTTTAAACATTGGTAACTTTTAACGTGCAGAAATAGTAAGCTCTTCCTCTGCCATCACAAGAATGATTTGATGAAATTAACACCCTTTCTCCTGATTTTCTTTAGGCAAATTAGCCCTATCAAATGTACATAAAGCCAATATTAACTTTAGGCAAATGCAACCTATAAACAGATAATTCCTGAGAGCAGATCACACCTACAGTTTTCTCAACACGCTGATTGTTTCAATGTTTGATATTCTTTCCTTTTTTTAACCCTACAATTAAAACTAGCTATCCCACCCACACTCTTTATCACATGTCCTGCTGGCATACCACATTCACATCTTTACTTTTCCTTTCCTCCTCACCACACTTCCACTTCCATAATCTGTCCTCTGTCTACACAAATCTCCTATGCATGCCATGCTTTAATCACTGTGATACTGTCTGCACTGGATTTCCCAACATTCTTGTTGCATCTTCAGTCCCTGTAAAATTTTGCAGAAACTCTTCTTCCTTGGCTGGGTTGATCCCTTAGCTTTCCTTTCTGAAACATTATGCTGAATCCTATGAGCAATGTTGAGAGTCAAAAGGAGAGATACAATCTAATATACCCAGGGGGAAAATAATAAAAAAAAAATCCAAAATACTGGTAAGTATTCAATGAAAGAGAATACTCAGAAGCAGCAGTACTAAACGAGATGGATGTAAGGTTTTACAGGGACAGTTTAACATACCCAGTGCGACACACAAAAACATCAGTTTCCTATTCTCATTAAGTTGCAATCAAGCAAGAAAGAAACCCAATATAATCCTGGGCTTCTGTGTTTTGACACAAGTATTACACTAATAGAGGGCAACTGGAATACCTTCCTATATGCCACTAACTGGTTACCAATCTTCAATGCCTCACACTTGTCAGTAGTTCTCATGGATAAAACTCTATGTAATATTACACCACTGAAGGTATATCCTGTTTGCTTAAAATAAGCAAATGTGCAGCACTACCAAATTGCCATCTTCTATCTGAAAAGCTAAAATACAGGACTAACAAAGAACAAATCACATGAACTATACCTATTAAAGATCTGTCATCAAGAAAGAACATAAAAATCAAATTACCCAACTATTTCATGGAGAATTTTTCAGCTTCATAAGCATTACAAAACAGTTAACCAGACAAAATCTCCTACAAAGGTTAGCTAAGTTAAAGGAAGCTGCAATTAAAACCTAACATAGTATTCAAAAGCCTCCATCCTAATCCACATTCAAATAAAAACACAGTAAGCTATTTAACAGGCTGAACTCAGGAGAAAATATTTCAGGCAATTCTTGATTCACTAGTGGTACTTTCTAAGCAAATACACGAAGGCAACCATTTAAATAAAATTTTTAATTCCATTTCAAAGCTTTCTGAATAATTTTTTTTTTTTAGAAAGCTTCCACCCTAAAAGATACATGAAGATATAAGCAGAAGCGATAGGAATGGAACTATAAGGCGTTATAAATTGAGTCTGTACGATGTGGAAAAAATGTTAGTGAAATGTATGAGACTGTGGAACACATACATAAAAATGTATCACCTGGAATTTGAGAACGGAACTTAATAAATGCTGAAGAATTTAATTTAGGGAAAAGTGCTCCACCAGCACAGAAACAAATTACATTATTTAATAAACTACGTACTGTTCTCATATTATTCTGAAATTTTGAAGTCAGTTTTTGATTCAAAACAGTATCAGATATCACCCAGAGTACTCATCACATGAACAGCTGATTTCTGTGCATTCCAGAAAAGTCTTGGAACAGCTGAAATGGCTTTCACATTCAGTTCCTGTTTTCTACGCCCATACTTTTCCTTTTTTTCCTCCCTGTTTTCTTCTGCGACCACACCTTCCAAAGCCTGTCTGTGGTGCATATGTGAATGACTGTCTCAGGAAACAGGTGTGCACTGTGCTGGCTGCTACAAGTGTCTTCTTACATCCCTGGCAAATTCACATCATGAACTCCACCACAAATACTTTCATGAGATTATGCAAAGATCTGCAGGTATTCAAGCCTAGCAATGCAAGGGACAGTGCTTTTCAATTTTACACTTGTATTGCACTCAGATGTCCAAATGAAAAGGAGAAATTATATAGCCAATAGTATCAGAAACATATACACTGCTCCTTGCTTAAAGGAAAAATACTCAGTAACATAAATGAAAGTAAATTTCTATGATCTATTACATGAATTCCATAATAACTTACATTAGAATCATGTACGTGTATTACTTGTGCTTGTCAGATGTCACAGGTAAGGAAGAGATCCTGACAAAAGCTGCCTTTCTCTGGCTACTTTAATTCCAGGTAAATAAAATTGATAAAAGCAGAACAGAAGAGTTCATTTAGCAGTGTTGTACAAGATCAAGTTCTTCAATACATTGTGAAGTATCATCCTTCCTGATTTTTTTTCCCAAAAACAAGAGCCACCTACCTGTTGCTGAACTGGTACTTGCTGAACTACCTGTGTGGGCACTGCTGCCTGGCCAGCCACAGACGTCTGTAAAGTCACAGTCGAACCTGTATCCGCCCCCGTCTCCGATGTCTGCATTGTGATTTCTGAATAAAATTAAGACACAAAATTAAAATGTTAGTGTTTTGGTGGGATTTTTTGGACACTTTATTAGCACACTAATTTGTTGCTTATCTCTATTTGGACCTTAAAATTAGCTAATAACAGTCTTGGTATGAGCCAAAAGGTTTTTACTCCTACTAGCATATGAATTGGTGCAAATGGGTTTTTATTTTATCTTACTTATATTCAAAATACTTTTTACTTACATGTGCAGAAATATACATCATTTCTCTGAGTTTCATCACTTTAGGAATAACTCAGAAAAATCAACAGCAAATCTTCTCTCAGTGTGAAAATAACTGGTCATGATTCAGAACTTTTTTTCCCTGGCCTACCGAATTATGCTAAAAACTTCATATATTCAGATTCAAAGTCAAACTTCTAGAAGGCCACAGAATGAAGGCCTGTAATCCAGAAAGCAAGCTCTGAAGAGCATTCAGTGAGTCATGTGAAAAAGAAACTCAAGTAACTTTCAGTAGAAAGTATTAAAGCAACCACTAAAGTTAAAATCTGAGAAGAAACTTTTGACACAAAAACTATATAAAAATACATAGATGGCAGACAAGTGCCTAAGGTCATGACCCTGACATGTGAATGGAACAGTGGAAATACAGAAATGGTTCAAGAATACTGAAATGGTTCAAGAAACAAGGAAAATGCCTTACAAAGAAAACTTATCAGAAAGACAACCGAGGATGACTTCTGATTTCACAGGAAACATAGACTGGGAACTACAGGATTTCTCGATTTTGCATAGGAGAAATGATGATAAAATTGAGTGGGTGACAAAACAAAATTAATTCAAAAACAGGAGTTAGACTTTTAAAATTATTATTATTTCTTCTAAGCAGTGGATGATTAATCAGTGAAAATGATAGCCAGATTGAGGCAGAATCTTCTGATTATTCTGCTGCAAAAATCAATTTCTGGAAATTTTTCTCATCTTCCTGGTCATTTATAATAAGTCTTAACTGAGCATATGAATTTACTATTTTGTATATGAACACTATTATTTCCTTTGCATTTGCTTTTACTCCACACAGCTGAAGATCAGGTTGCAAGAATGTGATTTACTCCACAGCAGCTGTGGGGATGAGTTCTTAATCCAGTCTGATTTAACATTGCCATTAATTAAGAAAGGCCTGCATAGAAGCACAGATAGCACTGAATCTGCATGGGTTCCAATAAAAAAAAAACTGTCAAAAGAAGTCACTAGAGGAAAAATAGGCAAAGGAAATGAGACTCATCCTAGAAAAACTCAGGCTAGTACCATGGGGATAAAATAACTGTTAATTGTCCAAATGGAGACCTATGATGAGTGGTGTTCCGCAGGGGTCCATTTTGAAGATATTAAACAATAAAAAAATACTGTTTAATATCTTCATCAATGACCGAGACAGTGGGATCAAGCACACCATCAGCAAGTTTGCAGACAACACCAAGCTAAGTGGTGCAGCTGACATGCCTGAGGGACAGGATGACATTCACAGGGACCTTGCTAAGCTTTAGAAGTGGCCCCAGGGGAACCTCATGAGGTTCAACAAGGCCAAGTGCAAGGTCCCTAGTGCACCTGGGCTGGGGCAACCCCTGGTGTCAATAAAGGCTCGGGGATGAAAGGATTGACTGTACCCCTGAGGAGAAGGACTTGTGGGTATTGGAGGATGAAAAAGCTGTATATGACAAGGCAATATGCGCTCACAGCCCAGAAAGCCAACCGTGTGCTGGGCTGCATCACAAGAAGCATGACCAGCAGGTTGAAGGAGGTGATTCTCCCCCTCTACGCCACTCTCATGAGACCCCACCAGGAGTACTGCGTCCAGCTCTGGAGTCCTCAGTACAGTAAAGACATGGGCCTGTTTGAGCGAGTCCAGAGGTGGGCCACATCAGAGGGCTGGAGCACCTTTCCTTCTATGGAGACAGGATAAAAGAGTTTGGCTTGTTCGGCCTGAAGAAAAGAAGGCTCCTGGGAGACCTTACTGTGGCCTTTTAATAAATAAAAGGGCTTCTAAGAAAGGTGGGAGAAGACTCTTTAGCAGGGCCTTTTGCGATAGGACAGTAGGTAATGGTTTTAAACTAAAGGAGGGCAGATTCAGACTCAGTATAAGGAAAAGATTTCTTAGGATGAGGGTGGTGAAACACTGGAACAGGTTGCCCAGAGACATGGTAGATACCCTATCCATAGAAACATTCACAGTCAGGCTGGTTCTCAGCAACCTGGTTGAAAATGTCCCTGCTCATTGTGGGGGGGCTGGACTAGATGACCTTTAAAGGTCTCTTCCAACCCAAACTATTCTATGATTCTGTGATTCTATGTTTACTGTAAAATAGTACATTTCCTACCTTTTTTTTTCTGCCTACAGAATACTGTATAAAATCCAGAATAAAGTTATTTAATGTTAAAAGCGATGCCACAGTTCTGGTATCAGACCACCCCAACTAAAAACCAATAGTTTTTCCCTTCATTCCAGTATTAACAGGACTATTCAACTTCCAGTAATAACATCCTGAAAGAACATGTTCTTTACTTTCCAATATGCAGTAATTTTAAAATTTCTGTAGATAAATTAACATTTTTCTGTATAAGACATCCTTAAATGCACTAGAGCAAACTCGTGCACAATGTAAATGTATGAGCTTAAATAAACAGAGTCAGATTTAGAAGACTCTTTTTTTGCGAACAAAGGCAAAGTATATGTATATAAAGTATATGTACTTTATATACATATGAATAAACATATATATATATGGAAATAATAGGTATATAATAAATAATAATCACCAGAGCATATAATATATCTTTTACTGCCATTTTGAAGGAATTTTCTAAGTCAAAGGTAATAGACTGAGAAAAAAGTAAAGGTCACTAATGAGTTAAGGTTAATCACCTTCACTTTTTTCTCAATCAATTACCTTTGACTTAGAAAATTCTTTCAAAATTGAAGTAAAAAAAGAACAAGCTTGTCCTAGCAAGCCTGCTCTCACTCATATATAAACCTGACAAAAACATTAGCAAGCTGGCAGAATAGGGGAAATCAAAAGCTAAACACTGAGTAACTTCCTAAACCACCTCTTTGTTACAAAACCACTTCCAGTCAGTTTCAGAGCACAATTAAACAGGTCAGCTTAAGACAGCAATTCCAACAAACTATCATTTAAGATACTGCAGCTCCTATGCAAAGTAAACCTGAACAGCTGAAAAGAATTAAAAGGCATCATTTCATACCAGCCCTTAGCTTTACTTGACTATATATTGTTTCATGGTTACAGTGTACAAACATGTCAATCACTGCAAGGGAGAAGAAATGCTATTGCAGTCAAAACCAGTTTTAACTGGTGAGAGACTGTTCTGCACTGCCACGTATCTGTTAATTGCTCTGTCATATTTCAGGCAGTGCTTGATCATTGCAGCTGCAATTCAAGATGCTTGCAAAACCAGAGCCAGGTACTTTCATCTAAGTGAGGAACAGGACGTGTTCATTTCCTTGCAGCACTCGTCATGGATTGTGCCTGGCTAACATAAGCATTAGCAGTTTAATAAAAAGGGAGCATCTTCATTGTAAGAACAGATACTCTGGTTGAAAACCAGATGCCAGTTGCTGTGGAGAAGCTTTGAGAAAGGCAGACTGCCAGCGCCCATTGTCTGCTATTAGGCACTGAGGAGTGCTGATGGGGATAGTCAAGGAATCAGATATTCTCTGCCCACTCCTGGAACTGACAATGTCCAGAGACATATCATAGAATCATAGAATCAATTAGGTTGAAAAAGACCTTTAAGATCTTCTCCTATGAGGAGAGAAGAGAGTTGAGAAAGTTGGGGTTGTTCACCCTGGAGAAGATTCTTAGGAGACATTCTTGTGACCTTTTGGTTGTTAAAAAGGGGCCTAAAAGAAAGACTGAGAGAGACTTTTTAGCACAGTCTGTTGCGATAGGACAAGGGGTGATGGTTTTAAACTGAAAGAGGGAAGATTCAAGCTGGATGCGAGGAAGAAATTCTTTACAATGAGGGTGGTAAAATACTGGTACAGGTTTCCCAGAGAGGTGGAGGATGTGCCACCCCTGGAGAAATTCAAGGCCAAGCTGGATGTGGTTCTGGGCAACCTGATGTCATTGAAGATGTCCCTGCTCATTGCAGGTGGGTTGGACTAGATCACATTTGAAGGACGCTGCCGAACCCGAATTATTCTATGAATCTATACCAAGTCCACCATTAAACCATGTCACTAAAGGCCTTATCTACACTGTTTTTGAACATTTCCAGGGACTGTGCTTCCGCCACTGCCCTGGGAAGCCTATTCTAATACCTGATCACCCTTTCATGAAGAATTTTTTCGTAATATCCAGTCTAAACCTCCCCTGGCGCAGCTTGAGCCCATTACCTCTTGTCCTATCACTTGTTACTTGGGAAAAGAGACCAAACTTCAGCTCACTACATTCTGCTTTCAGGTAATTGTAGAGAGCGATACGGTTGCCCCTGAACCTTCTCTTCTCCAAACTAAACACCCCCAGTTCCCTCAGCCGTTCCTCATCACACTTGTGCTCCAGACCCTTCACCAGCTTCGTTGACTTTCTCTGGACCCACTCCAGCACCTCAATGTCTCTCTTGTAATGAGGGGCCCAGAACCGAACACAGGATTTGAGGTGCAGCCTCACCAGTGCCCATTGCAGGGCAATGCCCTGCAATTGCAGTGCCCTGGCCCTGCTGGACACACTATTGCTGATACAGGTCAGGATGCTGTTGCCCTTCTTGGCTGCCTGGGCACAAGGTGGCTCATGTTCAACTCTGTCAGTCAGCTCCCCACAGGTCCTCTTCCACCGAGCAGCTTTCCAGCCACTCTTCCCAAAGCATGTGGCGTTGAATGTGTCCCAAGTGCAGGACCTGGCAATGAGCCTTGTTGAACCTCATACAAGTGTCCTTGAACCATTGATCCAGCCTGTCCAGATCCCTCTGCAGAGACTTCCTATCCTCCAGCACATCAAC